GTGGTTGAATTCACATGAAAATGATGAAACCAGTTAATTAATTTTGTCTTTTAGAGCGTTTGCAAGCAAAAATTAATTTGTTTAATTCGGAGTCAAATTTCTAAACAATGCGCATTTCATTTTATATAATTTAAACATATTTTATTTGCTAAATTATATATAAAAAGGGACTGGCTACGTTTTCTCACAACATTAGATAAGCTTTTCTCCATACAAATACAAGTACACAAATAAAACAAACATTAAATTTACATCAGTCTCAAGTTAATATAATTTTACAAGAATTGAACAGTTATTAAAAAAGTTACTATAATGCGATAGGTGAAGATCTTTTTCTCTCAACTTTTGCGTGCTCTGGTTCAAAACGAAAAATGAAAGTAAAACTTTAAAATGAAATGAAATGTTGGGGAAATTAAAAGTTTAATTCTTGATCAGTAAATTTGTCATTTGACTCACACGATTAGATTATAAAAGCACAGATTATACATTTAAGTCATACCTATTCTCTTTGTTTGCTGGGGAAGACAAAATAAATTCATTTTATTTTTCATCACGTGTAGCTTTGTTTTTATGATGAATGTTATTTACTTTAACATTTGCCTCAGAGTAAAATTAGAGAAGTATAGTCTTCAACAACGGTATGTATCGTAAAGGAAATTATTCGTGTTCACGCCTTCATATTGCTGAAGTTTAAGTGTTATTAGTTTGATTTATTATAGTCTGATCTATTCAGAAACATTCAAATAACGCAGTTCCTTAGCACGCCGTTTCAAACAAGAAAAACAAACATGATGCATTTAGTCGAAAATATGATGCAACAGGCATATAACTAATAAACAGATTTGACACTCAAAAGTGTCATATATATATATATATATATATATATATATATATATATATATATATATATATATATATATATATTTGTCTGTGGATTATAACTGTGGACAAAATCTTTTAAAACGAATAAAATGTCAAAGAGAAACTAATGAACAAAATGGGAAATATGTTACATTTATATGTGCTTATGTTATGCTTTCATATAAAACCGTATATAGATTATATACCCTATATGTCTACAATACAAATGTGTCGTTCTCATTATTGTTGTTTTATTGTTTGGTTTTTTTTGGAAATACAACTGCTACGCTCGGGAACTTTTACGTTTTAATTCACAAATTGTCCCTATATTGTTTTCATTTTACAGTTGAATAAAATATTATTCTTCACAAAGTCATTATACCATATACTCTGTGATATTTTTGACAACCTAGACAAAAGAGATGACACAAATTAATCAACTACTGCTTGTTTTGCAAGAGAAGTCCTTCAATCTTCCCCGTCATATTGCCTGACCTTGAGGTAACTCGAGACGAGCTCTTAGAGTTCCCACATCAGGGGTGATCAAAGATTAATGGGTCAGCCTGCGTAGTCTTTGTTGCTTGTCATTGCAACATATATATGTGTGTTCTTATTTATCATGACTCAGGCGGGATCCCAAGTAACAACTGCACTTGGGGTTTCAGATAAACCGTCGTGTAGTGCAATCACTTTTGATTCCATGCCAAGTTAACCAAACTCGAAACAGGAAGACCGACGATTGTACACCTGAAATTTATACAAACAAAACAGTGTTGACGATTTGCCAACAAAATAATGGAGATCGAAGTACAAAATGACCGTTATCATGCGTCGTTTAGTATTGAAAACGTAACTATTACATTAACAGCGTAAAACGACTGACAATGAAGACTTTCAAATGGATATGAAAGCTTTAAAATTTTGCACTTTTTATTTCCTTTCTCCTATCTGTCTTTACTTTTCTCTATAAATGACAGTAAACAATTTTCTGCAGCGCAGAAAATTGTCTGATAAATATAACGTATACCGTGCATTTACTGACTGAATCAAATGAGCTCACAATATGACGACTAACATAGTTCTGAATCTTGCCGTAATTTATGCCTGTTTTGGGGGTGGGGGCTTTACATTGCAAGCGTCCGTTGTAGAGAGGTCAAGAGAGTCTGTCTAAAACTGGCAATACTAGATTTAAGCTCATACAAAGTTGAAAGTTTTATCAATGTCGTATTGAAAAATAGTTCCAGCATCCAATGGATAAAGAGAACAAGAAGAACGATTGTGACATGTAGCAGCTACAAAGCTGGATCATGTCGCACTGTTATGGCTTTCATGGAAATACGCATATCCTAGTTTTAAATCTAAGACAACAAGATTATTAACTTTTGCAAAGGTCAAGGCCGTTGATCACCCAATAACTGTATGCCAGATTAAAGTCCAGTAAATAAAATCAAGTTGTGAGACCTTGAAACCTTTCTATTGTTTTGTCTTAGTTTACTTGCACGAAAGAATCTCCGATTTTTTTTTTTCATGAGTTGACAATTCTTGCATATTTTGAGACTGAATAACAATTATTTTATTTAGGATATTTCAAATATGCAAACATCTATTCAAAATAGCGGAATGCTTCGTCAAGTAACTGACAAATGACGATGGGTTGAGGAAATAACTATATGAACAACCGCATTCTAGCCTCGTGTTCAATATATAAATGTATTAAATGTAATTTTTAATACTTTGGTTCGAAATGTGACAAATAATCTAATTAGGTTCCACTTTCCACTTTCAATTTAATTTGCTATACAATTAAATCTGACACTATGTAAACTTGAATTAGATGTAGGACTTAGATTATGACCGGAACGAGAAAATCCGTAGATAATTTATTCCACGAGTTGCTCGGATAAAACCATCCTTGATAAATATAGACCATTCTACCTGAGCTCGTCTTTATTCGAAACAACGTACTTACTAGAAACTACATGTAGACCATTTTGCAAAACAAAATAAGTTCGTAACAGTATTTAGTAACATAATATTGTTATGAACTTCTGTGAAACAGTCCATAAACAATATTGTTTCCTGTTGTATATGTCTTTGTTTGACTTCAATCAAAATGTTTTTTATTTTAAAAGAAGCTGAAAGCAATCGTTATGAACAAACACTGACATTTTTCCTCCCAGGCATGAAAAAAAAATATTGCCGACTGAGAGATGTAAAATATGTTTGGACACCGTTAAGAAGTGACCACATGTAGATTTTTATATCGCGAGATACTTTCATAACAATTATGTTTGTATTCTGAACGATGTAGAAAATGGACTAAGAAGGACGACGGGCAACGGTGCTGGAAGAGCTCCAACATTAGCAAACAGCTTGTGACTAACTTAATGAGTCAAGTTATGACATGACAAGGCTTTTACAAGTCGACTGAATTAATTAAATTTTCACATGACAAGGATTTTACAAGATGACTAAGTCCAATTATGATCACGATTCTTTTTTACGAAAATATTCTTCGAGTGAAATTATTTTCTGTTTGACAGCTGATAATAAACATGCTAACCTACTGTATTAGGATACCTTCATTCAGCTAAATTCCATTTCGTAAGCTCAGTATGTGAAAATCAGTATAATATAAACTCATATTACAATTGACAGCTGATATGACTTTATTTTTCTTAAATATATATCTTATATTTACTGGATGTCACAGCAATTTGTATGTAAATGATACATATGTAGGAAAATTTGTATTCCTCAAATACAAATTCTATCAAAGAGGTTAGTTTAAAAACGTATAACAGCAAAACAGCACTACATACTAATACCAACAACAAGAACAGCAAATTTGTATTTTTAAAAAAAAACGAAATTTTTTACTTTTTGAAGGCTTACACTTTTAAATTTGATCTACAATAATGGTCATAAAATTATTACATTTCCTGAAAAATGCAATGATGATATCTACTTGTTATGTAGAGATACAAAGAAATATTTCACGAGTGAAATGAACACACTGAATTGATGCAAAATGTTTCGGATTTTAAAGTGAAAGATTTCTTTAAATCTACTTTAAAAAATGGATCTCCCTTTTTATTGTCGTAGTAATACAACCTATACTTTCATTGACACAGAATGGAGAAGAAAAAAAAAACTTCCACGTATATAGATCATTTTTAAAAAAATAAAATATGCAATAAAAATGTCAATGAAATAATATATATCATTACTTTGGAAATTAAAAGGAAGCTCCATAAATATTACAAAGTTATATAACAGCGACATTTTACAAATTTAGTTGGTACATTTATGCTTTAAGTTGTTCATTTTATTAAATTAATGACTGTTTTGATACAAAAGTAACGAGATTTTATTTTCGCTATCCCATTTCTTGAGCGAATTAATACACTGAACATTGTTGGGGAGGGACTATTTAAGAAACATCAAGAGCGGTCGTATCCGACAGACATTAGATCGTAGTACATGTATCTTTAACCAAAATGTTCTGATGATTGTGAGATTAACAATAACAATTTTGGTTCTTTATTTTCTTTATTTCAGGACTGAAAAATGAATACGTGTCCACCAAAAACATGCAGTTGTATCTGATAACCAACGTTGCACCTAAACTTCGACTGTCACTTAATTTCGGTTTACAAAATTGTAAAATGTCGCTGTTATGAACACTTATCTATACAGCATTTCAGTATCTCTTTATTGTTTTCAAACATGGTCATGCTTGTGATGAAAGTTAAAATCACTAATTACAAATAATATTATATTCAGTCAAAAGATTTCGGTAAAAAAAATGTATCGTTTAGTCGTGAAGCTCAACAAGTATACGATTCTGTATTGGTGATATTTAAAATGGAGAATAAACAGGCTATGTAAGTTTAGCCACTGATTCGCGCGATTCACGTTAGAATGTGATTTTGATTTTTTTTACATAGCTTTAACAATTTTAGTAATATCGCTACAATGTCAGCCGTTTGGCAGTTAGTGCTATCTATCAGCAGGAATTTGGCATCATGCCCCACAGTCACATAATCTTGACACCAGGCCGACCAGTCTTAAATTTAACCTCTTAATCCTAGGCGATGAACGAAACAGCTGCTAATACCATTTTTATGTATTTGGTATATCTCAGCAGGGGTTCGAACCCGCGACCTCCTGCATCCGAGGCAAACTCTCTAACCACTTAGGTCACCGGAGAGATCTGATTCACATAGGAAACTATTTTGCACAGTTAATACTTGCACTCTACTTTTGATGTTTCGAATTCGTCTTGTGGCATTTTATGCCGACACCTCATTCAATACACAAATGTATATACGAGGGTCTACAGACCTGAAATATTTTAACATTTGTTCATGTAGAGAGAGAGAGAGAGAGAGAGAGAGAGAGAGAGAGAGAGAGAGAGAGAGAGAGAGAGAGAGAGAGAGAGAGAAGAAGAAGAAGAAGAAGAAGAAGAAGAAGAAGAAGAAGAAGAAGAAGAAGAAGAAGAAGAAGAAGAAGAAGAAGAAGGAGAAGATAGACATAATATTAAAATACAAGTTTGAATAACATAATTCCGTATATTTGCTCATTTGGGGAAAAGAAATTTGTTCTAAAAGTTATATCACTACTGTGGCGATAAAAGCGATATCGCTACTGTGGCGGCATAAAATTTCACTCACTGATATATTTCAATATTTCATTACAAGAATAACTCGATATATTAAACACATCACAATTACAATACATATCCCATTACAAGGAACATAGAAAAAATAATAACTGAATTTAAGAATCGCCGTGATATTCATTTTTCTCATATATACACACTGTTTCATCAAAAGGACCTTTCGTCGGCAATTTCACTGATATTAATAAACTCAGTTATCAAAACAGGATACGTAAATGAAATTTGCGTTTGTTATCTTAGATGTTGCTATGAAGGTATGATGGCGTCGCTTCTTTCCATAAGGCCAGATAAAAAAAATATGTATGTGGTTCAAGTTAAATTGAAAAAAGAGAGTTGGGTATGTTGGTACAAATATTTTTTTGTGCTTATTTTTTGGGGGAGGAGAGTGGGATCAGGACGGATTTAAATGAATTTATAAGCTAGAAAATAAGCGTCACTCACACCCTGAAAACTGTCATCGTAGTCATAATCCATTTAGATTTTTTCTGCAGGAAACAATATGGTCAATCGAGGAACCAGAACGGCGCATACTTTTTCCACCCTTATAGGAAAAAAGATATAAAATCAATTACCTGTTCTGAAACTAACTTGCAAACCAAACTGATAGCAGTAGTAGAGTTATATAACGGTTCTTCAGTTTGTTACCGCAAGATTATTTCTATACGGTAATGTATATGTCTACAGAGAGAGAGAGAGAGAGAGAGAGAGAGAGAGAGAGAGAGAGAGAGAGAGAGAGAGAGAGAGAGAGAGAGAGAGAGAGAGAGTCATGCTCTTAAAGAAAACATAAAACTAACTTTATACCCCATACATTATTTTAACTTCTAGTTCATCAGGGGTATGTATGTATGTATGTATGTATGTATGTATGTATGTATGTATGTATGTATGTATGTATGTATGTATGTATGTATGTATGTATGTATGTATGTATGTATGTATGTATGTATGTATGTATGTATGCATGCATGCATGCATGCATGCATGCATGCATGCATGTATGTATGTATGTGCGTGCGCGTATTTTACTTTACAACTAGAAAAGTTCTCGAACACGTGTCAACCGACACCAATTTTAGTGTTGAATATATTAGACGTAGATTAGATACCTGGACAGATAACAGGATTACACCATATCGACTTATTGAAAATTTTAAACAGTATGTTTCGGTTTTCATTTGCACTTTTTTCAGGTGATTGAATAGCCAAGCCAATGTTACTTCCAGGAATTTACTATGGTACTTATAAAACTGATGTATGAAAACCCCGAATTCTATTTTTAAGTCTTAGTAGGACGATACATGTGTTACATGTCACAACCTAGATACACATAACACAGGTACCTTTATACCTGCGCCGTGTATTGTTCAGTATTCCTAACGAACGGGAAGTATATCTTAACGAGACAATGACAACCATCCTAAAACAATATATGGCTTTTGAGGATTCTGACATAAGGTAAGTTATTTAATTTTAGTTTCTTGCTATCACTGCGACGTTTCACATATGTCATAATAAAGAAAATCGGCACAACTCAAATCAAATAGACTAAAATCGATATAAGATCTACCAAAATTAGTAATTAAATGCACGTGGAGATGGTACATTAATGACAATGATACAAATCATCATGATGTGTAGTATGTAGTTTTGTTTTACAGCATGAATATGGCTGCGTAGTGCCAATTAAAGATTAAGTTCGAAAAATGTACAGCCCTTCCAGATAAATGAAAACATTAAATTAAAATAAATCTGTAAAATGCATATAAAATAACAGATACAGATGACACATACAATTTTCTAATATAAACAATCATGAGTAAAACGAGAAAGTTGACAAAGAAATCGGTTAACTTAGTTACAAAGGACTAAAAATTTGTCAGCTCTTATTTGTATTTTTACTTATATTTTTTGTTTAAAAAGATAGTAATTTCTAAACTTAGAACGTTTGCAATATAGTAACACACACACACACAAGGAGTAAACGACCATTTGCATCTAACGATTACTGAAAACCAAAAATTCCGCTAAGACAATCATTAGCTGAATTTTAAAAAGTGGTCGTTTAACACCCTCAACCCATCACCCGCACCAAAGCGATACTTTGGGATCCGCCCCTAAATTTGTTAAACTACCTCTTTTTGTATTAAGCAATATACGCAAGTCTCATGCAAATGTCGTTTAACACGTTTACTTATTTTGTAAACAATAAAAGGCAGTTAAAAAAAACCTCAACCGTTTACACAAGTAAACGCTAGTGTACAAAAGGCTCGCTTGGATTCATTATTCATTAATTCTACGTCCTAAATTTTTTACTGAATATTTTGTATTCACTATTAAGTTATTGGGTCCGAAGTGCTTAAGCGCTTGCTACCCGTACATAAGTAATATGTTCAATCACTGTAGTCTTCACCAGAAATTATAGTCCTTATTAAAAGCTATGTTGTCATATAGCTCCAGTGATTCTTCTTCACCAGAGCCGTTTTAAGGCATAGACAGGCGAGGCACGTGCTTAGGGCCCCGCGCAGGCAGGAGCCCTGGGGCGGCCCAAAAACACGACTTCTTTGTCGGTTGTATTATCAGTTTAGTACTATATAAATAAATTTAACAAAATGACACACATGCACATGGAAATGCAATACAATACTCTGTATCTGAGACTGAGAGATTGAGGTGCCATTTCTTGTTTACTTTTAAGGTTAAATTTTGTGCCTAGGGTCCCCAAACTTCTTAAAACGGCTCTGTTCTTCACACGGCTTTCGTTCTATTAATACAGTCAGTATATAGGTACATATTTGTTTTCCTACAAACCTACGCTACTGGTAAACATAATATTATATATTTATTTCCGAATGTACTTAACAGGGGACAGAATAAAGATTATGTCGAAAAAGTGACCGAGAAAGTGCCATGTAATATACAAACGTTGATTGTTATACAAGTAAATGTCATAAATAAATCGCGATATAACACAGGATACGCAACATGGGCCTAATCTACATCACACAGAAGGCAATTTTATTCGGGATTGCAGTATCTGTTGTGCACGGAAAGCTATAGATAACAATAACTGGATGCAGATGGTATTATCAGGAAAATTGAGTTGAAAATTAGACAAGTAATTGGGATAAAGATTGATCCGAGAAGGAGACATGGCCATAGACGGGGCTAACAAGAGGGGATGGGAGCAACCGGGGATATATCCCTAGGCCAGGGACCGTAAGAGGACCCGGGCCGAACAACATTTTTTAATTTTATAAAGATAAATTTTCTTTGAACAAAAACTAGGAGAGGCCAGATTGTTTCTTATCCCATGACCCGTAATCACTCTCTACGATCCAGGCCGTAGATTTCAAGAAAACTGAAGAGTGTACTTCATGTAATAAACCGTAATATGACATAAGATAATATTAATTTCATACATGTATTTGAAATTATAATTCCTCAACTCATGTACATGAGATGTGTGCTTTATGACGTAATAAAACATTGTAAACAGGAATCTTACAATTTAGAAATAAATAAATATGATGACAAATTTGAAAAAAAAATACAAAAAAGTGATGCAACACAACAATATCAACTGTGTCACTCACATGAAGATATTACAAGCAGGCAGAATGGAAATCACATATCGCAGTATATTGAAAATCTTTATTCACACACGTGTCATTGGTGGGGTGGGGTTAAGAAAATATAAATCAAGCAAAAAAGGACCAGGTGTTTAGTTGTATTTTAATTTTAAAAAAATCATTCGGCCATGATATGCAAACAATATGACTCAGACTGTAAACTAGCATAAGTAATACATGCAAGTTCTTCCAAAATGCAAATCGAATGTAACTATACCAAGACGTTAGCCCTTCTGTACCTAAGTGAACAGAGGTTTATATTAGTCAACGCAGGCATCAACTATGATCATTACAAAGTATAACACAGAAATTTACTGAATGACACAAACGTTTTAAAATTGTAATAAATTTTCCTCGTAATATAATAAATCCCATAAATACCAAAGTCATATTAGCTTTGATAATTGGACCGTCTAGACTTAAGCTTTATTCTTTAAGTAAGGTCTAAAAATAAAAAGCATGCAATAAAAGAATATGAGACATGGGATTTCATTTTCTAGGAAAACAATAAGTACTAAGCAGTAGGCGTGATAATAATGATATCGCATTATACAACGGACTCTTCACACTGACATATCCTCATAAGGATAGTTTACTTTTCTGTTTGTTTTAATTTTTTTACATACAGTGTTACCGCCGAAATACATTCTTCTGATCTGATACAACTTCCTTATACCTCTTGTAAAATCTCTCGTCTTCACTTTCTTGATATCTTAATTTAAAACCAAAAAATTAAACAAATATTAAATTTCGGCCACTAAGAATTCTCAGCCATTCAGTACGTTGCTGCCAGTGAACTTAATTGCTACATAGCGTACAGTAAATACTACCTACACCGAGAGCAGTATATACTTCCTGTATGTTTAATATAGTAAGGTAAACCATTGTCATAAAGATGTACTA